TTAATGCAGTTTTACTAAGTCACTGAAGTAAGAGAGGAAGAGAAGCAACTTCTTTATTATGAAGAAAACAACGTTTCGGAGTATATATTTACACCTTTATCAGGTGAATAAATGCTATGAAGCAGAGAACACACATATGTACCTGTGAGAATATCATAAGTAATAAGATAACAAAGGTGGAAACTTAACAAGTGGGGACAGCAGTATATCAGCGCAGAGAGATGAATAGCAAGGGACAAATGCAAGCCAACATTTAACAGTTGATTTGCCCTGACAGGCGATGAACAACTGGAAGCCAGGACTTAAATTATCACTGATTGGCAAAGGCTTTACTGAAGTATAGTAAACTGGTATCACTTCAAGTGATTTCAGGGGTTGGATAGCCTAGTGGTTAAAGCGTTCGCTCGTCACGCCGAAGACCCGGGTTCGATTCCCGACATGGGTACAATGTGTGAAGCCCATTTCTGGTGTCCCCCGCCGTGATATTTCTGGAATATTGCTAAAAGCGGCGTAAAACCATACTCAATCAATCAAGTGATAGCAACTATAATTAGAACTCATCGCCTCCATACACATCGACAGTTGTATCATCTGGGGTGCCCCAAGTACACTGGTGTTCAGTTGTTACAAGGATCTGCTGTTTCCTGAAGTGCCTTGACATTGTAACGTATCGTCTGAACCCTTCACGCACTTTTAGAAATCTCTTGTAATGTTTATGCCACCTTCACATACACGGCTTTAGCTTACGAGTGCTTACGGATCGCACAAATTGAGGGGTACTTACGATTTGGCCACTTTTACGACCGATTTTAGAGTTGTTACGAGTTAGTACGAGCTATTTACGGTTTATTACGGATTATTACGAGTCATTACGATGTAGTTACGGCAAAATTCCACGATTTGTTACGGATAACAACAAGCAACTTACGGGCATTTTACGAGGTTTTTTACGGATTGCTGCGAGTATATTACGGAATGTTACTATTCATCGAAGCTTTTACGTGTTAGTTACGACCTGTTTACGTGTTGTTACGAATAGTTACGAGTTAGTTACGAGTATTTACGAGTCCTTTTCGAAGAGCAGGAGACTTCTTGTTGACTGTAGAGTAGATATGCAGAGATGTGACTTCTATGACCTCTTAATAACAACTGAAAATGAAGTGTTCGATTTTGAAGCTTTTATACCTTTCACCAAATCGTAAACAATACGTAAGAATACGTAAAGTATACGTATCTATTCGTAAAGTAATCGTAACTACACGTAAAGTGCTCGTAATAACTCGTAACAATCCGTAAAGCCATCGCAACAAGAACCGAATGAAATCGTTAACAACACGTAATCACTCGTAATAATCCGTAAATAATCCGTAAACAAATCGTAAAAAATATTGTGACGAGTCATTTACGGATTCTTGCGAGCAGTTTACGGATGATTACGCGTTGTTGCGAGCGGTTTACGATTCTTACTTAAGGATTGTTACGGGTTATTTACGAAAAAATCAATCCGTGGACAATCGTGAGATGATTTTGGACATGTCAAAAATTTTGCCTCTCCTTTCACGGATCCTTAAGAGTGTCTGCGAGTTGTTGCGAGTTGTGACGAGTTATTTACGGATACTAGCGAGTTATTTACGGGTGCTTGCGATTGACTACGAGTTGGCGATCCGTAAGAACTCGTAAGAAAAATCCGTGTATGTGAAGGGGACATTAATTATCCGTTACACGTAACTATTACATGTGTATATACCACAAACAATACTTGATACAAAAACCTCATCTGGACGGCGCTGTTTCATCATCCTCAGAGAGCTATTATGATATTGTTATTTATGTACAATGCAGTCACGATAGGCACTATATTAGTTTACATTTAGGATTAAGTTGTGTGACACAGCAAAGGACACGAGAATGCCAAAGGAACGAAGCACTTCATTTTTGTATGTGGCACCTTAGGCGACTCGGCTCTACTGTCTCTGGGGTGCGAATGTCCGACATACGGATGATATTTGTCTAAACAGATGCACTTCCTTTGGGGCTAGCTCCGTTTACAGCTATGTTCGTTTGTTATAATTTGTTAAAATTTCCATTAACACCTGTTTCTCCATGTTAGCGCCATGTAATTCACACAATATCAATTTCGAATTTCGTAAGAATATCAACAACGCCCACGTTTGACCATTTAATGTTCGTGCACCGTTAACCTTGTCACAGCAGGACCGCATTTCTGACCAGTATATTATGTCGAAATGATGAACCAGAATTGCCCTTTCGAAATTGATGTCGATTTTAATTAAGATTGTCATATTGTAAGCAACTCCCGTCCTACAATTACAAACAATTCAGGAAAACATAACGGATGCTGTATTTCAATGTAGCCGATCCTACCGTAATGAAAGGACATTTGATTGCTAGCGTTTTACTTGACGCTCATAAAATAGAAAGGATTTTACGAAATGTCGCAGACATGCTATTTGGTTCTTGTTGATCAGGTTGTTTTATGGTATATATATATATATATATATATATAGAGAGAGAGAGAGAGAGAGAGAGAGAGAGAGAGAGACAGAGAGAGAGAGACAGAGAGAGAGAGAGATAGATAGATAGATAGATAGATAGATAGATAGATAGATAGATAGATATCAGAACCGCACTACAAACACGGGAAAATACAAATCTGTATTGTATTGAAAAGTAAGCAATAGACATAAGAAGGCTTGCATTCATGTCAAGCTAGCAAGGTCACCGTGTTTGGGAGACACTAACCCCATCCATAGACGTTTAAGTCTGCACGGGACCTACACGTCAATGCTGGATTTTTTTAGGGACGACTCTTGGGATACAAGCAGAGTGCGCTGCTCGTGATGCGAATTGTATAGCCGCTGTAGAAGGGTGAGGACGGAATGTGTCCGCCAACGGATCTGCGGCTCCTGGTTCATAAGGTCGGGAAGCTATAAGGCTATATTCATTGTGCACGGACGGGGTCAATCAGCCGCCAGGTTTTAATTATTATAGTCACATTAAGCAATCCCATTCCTACAATTACAAACAAATAAAGGGGAAAAGGATTACAAAACGAATATTGCATTTGAATGTTGTCCATCCTGCGGTAATGAAAATGGAAGTGAGCCTGTGAATGCAAGTGTTTCAATTGTCGTTCATAAACTAGAAGGGATGTTACATAGTGTCACAGACTTGCTTAATATCTCTCAAGAGAGATTTCCAAAACGCTGTTTCGATATGTTAGTTTGGTTTGGTGCCGTTGGTCAAAATACATGGGTTTCTGCCATTAACAATGTTATATTCTCATGTCTTCGGACATGTGTGGAAATTTCAAGGTGCTGGTGATCCTGAATATTTTATTAGTGAGTTTATACTGAGGACTAAGAACTGTCTTGCACAAACATGTTATTCTGAAGTGCCTGGATGCTCGAAATTAGAACTGTATTCATTATTTAAGATATCATTATCACTTGAACCGTATCTATTAAATGTATTATCAAAGGAAAAGCGAAGTGTGCTTACCCTTTTACTGGGAATTATGTATAACACAGGAAGGAGGGATGGCATCGATAAGACACTCCGGTTTTGTCCATTGTGCAAGTTAAGGGCAGTTGAAAATGAAATTCATTTCATTCTTGTTTGCCCTATGTATGAAGATATTCGCTCAAAATATTTCCAATAATTAGACTTTATTACTGGTAATAATCGTAAAGACATACTAGTTAGAATGTTAAAATCTTCTGATGTAAACTGTCGTTAGAACCAATTATGTTAAAGATGCTATCTGTCTTCATTCCTTTTTCCTGTAAATATTATTTCATGCAGCACTTGATGTGAAACTAAATTGTATATAACTGTACGTGGGCAAATAAACTGATTGATTAATTGACTTGCTATTTCATACTTATTAATTTTAATATTGTGTGATGTATATATAATTATTGAGGCATATCGTGCAGTTGCTATTTACTCCATATCCGCAAGAGGTAAGACATTTTGAATAATGTAGATACACATGTACAAAATGCATCGATAAATGCATCTGCAAATGTGCATCAATAAATGCATGTACAATATGCGACCCAGTCATCTAAGGCGCCGCAATTCGCTGTGCAGAGTTGCGTCCCTTAAGCATGCCAGAAACCTATGATTGTGGGTTGGAATCCCGGTTCGCCTCGATTATTTTTCTAGGTTTGTCAGCACCATACCCGTGCTTGTGGGATTCACCGGAGTAGTAAACGTCTAAGACATGCATCACTTCGGGCTTTCCTCCTACATTAAGCTGACACGCCGTGATATAACTGGAATACTGTTAAAAGCGGCGTTAAACACAACTCATACACTCACTCACCAGTGTCCAAAAGGGTTGCGTAAATCCTGCTGGGGAACCGTGCAGGTAGCTGATGTGTCGATGGTCCCTCTGGTGTGGTAGCCTAACTTCGTTTGCTGACTATCTATGGCCCGTTTTTATAATGCATTAATTTGTTATGAATAATCATATTTTATTGTTGTATACTAGTTTTTAAAAAAATTGTGTGTGATACTCTAGTTATTTTAATGTCCATTGTCGACAGGTTATTATATAGTCTAAATGTATTACTATTATTATTAGTGAATAAAATATTATTGTCACTTTATATGGCTGAAATATTGCCGATGTATATTACAACAGGATTTCGGTTGTGAGTAAACTGAACATTCTGAAAGATTTTCAGTGTGTTTTTGTTGTGAAGGTAATATCTAAGTAGATGTTTGCATTTAAGGTAAACCGCTGGTGTATTAGCCGCTGAGTTTCAAATAGCAAACTAGTGAGAAGAGTAGTCTCCCTTGCCACACGTGTTACGACTTGGCGTATTTATATATTATCAAATAAAGGGCGATAAAATGTACATGGTACAAGATGTCGTCTAACTCCATATAATTGAATGTTAATATATGGTTGCTGCAATCTGATCTTTGAAATAAATTCAATATTAGTAAACTTCCGGTTTACGACAACATTCGAGCCTACTTCAGATGGAAACATCACAGCACGTGTATTGCATCGCAGAATGAACTCGTAAACACTTTTAGCTGCGGTATTTGATCTAACAGTCGAAGATGCAACACGATGATGTGAGGATGATTTATGTTTATTGTGACCTGTTTCTATATAGATATCGTTTCTGTTTGTATGAACATTTTTAGAACAGACCTTCAATAGAAAGATTATTAGCCATTTTTTACTCGAAATTGAAACTTTGTATAACTTGGAGAGATTTTACTGAAATGACATTAGATTGATTCTTTGAAAGAGAAAACTAACCCATACCGTACCTCACAACTAACCCTAAGGATTGTAAACGGATGCCTAACCTTAAGGATTGCAAACAGGTGTTTGATTGGCAAGTGGTAGGGTAGCCACAACTGACACTAAGGATCATAGAGGCACGTAAGATTTTTGAAGTAAGAGCCACAGCTGGCAGCTTGAGCCAATTAGTGCTATATATGCTGCACCATTAAACTGCATTATTGCCCAGCACCATCTATTTCAACCACAGCTGTCAGTTATACTTGGTCAACTGTGCAATATGCCACAGGTGTGCTCTTTACCTCAATCCCTTACAGGGGCGGTCGAGTAGCCTAGTGGTTAAAGCATTCGCTCTACACGCCAATGACCCGGGTTCGAATTCCCGACATGGGTTCAATGTGTGAAGCCCATTTCTGGTGTCCCCCGCCGTGATATTGCTGGTATATTGCTATAAGCGGCGTAAAACCAAACTCATTCACTCTCAATCCCTTACAATCTTGACATCCACACCATTAATGTAAAGTTACAGTTCAGAAACTGATTAATTCAAAAGCAGCCGGACCGTGGATATATCTGATATGTTATGAACATAGTGCCTGAAAGTCAGAACAATAGTTAAGATCATGCAGTTAAGTCAACCCCTGTATACAACGGAACCATTATGTTAGGTCGCTGACTCTGTGTGCTGGCGATTAGGTGCCTCACTCTGGCAGTGTGGGTTCGAATCACGGGTGACACTCAACCCGAAATGTACTAGAATCTGTACTTTATGAAAGTTTTATCCCAAACTTAACTTTCTTACGTTTGATCGCTTTCTGAATGGCATTGTGTATTCATTCAACATATTGCATATATCTGGGTAGATGTGTTTTAGACATTCAGTGTGTTGTTTTTTTCCACAGGTGATCTGGAGCATCATAAATGATTCATTCTGCTCCTTCAAAACAAGGTGAGCACAAGCACTGATTTATGTAGTATAATTTGATGCCTCACTCTGGAGGTGTGGGTTCGAATCCACGATGGGACTCAACAGGAAAAGTACTAGAATCTGTACTTTACGAAAGTGTTATCCCAAATATAACTTTTGTTACATTTGATTGCTTTCTAAATGGTTTTGTGCCATAAAGGATTCAGTCTGCTCCTTCAAAACAAGGTGAGCACAAGCACTGATTAATGTAGTATAATTTGTTGTAACATGTACATGGTGATGAAATACCATATTTATCTAAAAAAGAAAAAATTGATATCTCCCTCGATTAAAACAACACTTTATCATGCGCAGGCCAGAACTAATTTCAGTCTGCTTCAATGACTCAAAGGTTTCATGACTATCAGTTGGAAAATATATATAGATCTACATGTATCAGTTATTCACTGCCATATAGCTGTAATATTGCTGAGTGCGGCGTTAAACAACAAACCAAAGTTATTCACTGTTGTTTTGGACGTTATTTGTTGCTTTGTAATAATGTATCTTAGGTTGTTTCACTTTTTGCTAGTAAGACCTCATCCTGGGTAGGATGATTGAGTATGATGTTTCACTTTTTGCTAGTAAGATCATGAAGATCTCATCCTGGGTATGAGGTTTTACTTTTTCCTAGGAAGATTGAGTATGATGTTTCACTTTTTGCTAGTAAGATCTCATCCTGGGTATGAGGTTTTACTTTTTCCTAGGAAGATTGAGTATGATGTTTCACTTTTTGCAAGTAAGATCTCATCCTGGGTATGAGGTTTTACTTTTTCCTAGGAAGATTGAGTATGATGTTTCACTTTTTGCGAGTAAGATCTCATCCTGGGTATGAGGTTTTATTTTTTCCTAGGAAGATTGAGTATGATGTTTCACTTTTTGCGAGTAAGGTCTCATCCTGGGTATGAGGTTTTGCTTTTCCTAGGAAGATTGAGTATGATGTTTCACTTTTTGCTAGTAAGATCCCTGTATGAGGTTTTACTTTTTCCTAGGAAGATTGAGTACATGTATGATGTTTTGCATTTTGCTAGAAAGACCTGATAAGATGAGTAACAGTTGAAGTTTGGACTGAAGGTTTCAAATGTCCCATTTTCTAAAATTGACAAGCATGGAAATGTTTTGGTTATTGATGACGGGAATCGAACCATTAAACCACAGAACTGGTTGAAAGATAGGTGGTTCATTAGAAGTTCCCATATTTAGAGTATATTTCCTGGCCAGATATATTTCAGAAACATTTCTTTAGACTGTTGTAACACACTTTTATACATGATAGTGAACAAATGTTAGTAAACATTGATTCAATTTTTCATGAGTCGGATAAAATACTCTTCGGTGTTGGTTGACATAGTGAGTAAATTCTTTCCAAGTAGAAAAGCTCTACGCTAACACCTCCAGTTTTACTAGCTTGGTCACTGCTTCCCTCGGGTTTTGCTATGTCAACCAAAACCTCGGTGTCATGTTTTATTCCATTCATAAAAGGGGGCACTGGTGGCCCAGTCGTCTAAGGCGCCGCGATTCGCTGTGCAGAGTTGCGTCCCTTGGGCACGCCAGAAACCTATGATTGTGGGTTCAAATCCTGGTTTGCCTGATTATGTATCTAGGTTTGTCAGCACCATACCCAACTCACTCACTCACTCCATTCATAAAAAAACCGAACACTTTGGCTTTTCTTGTCAAATATTGTGTTTATCTCTTCATATTATCTGAAATAGGTCCACCTGTTATTCCTAACTAAATAAAATGGTGAATGTTAGCATAAAAAAATCAGTATTCTTTCACCATGTTCACCATTTCAGAACCAAGTCTCAAAAGTTTTGTCGAAATGAGTACAACTTGACTGGCCTGTGCAGCAGGGCGTCATGTCCCCTGGCCAACAGCCAGTATGCTACAATACGGGAAGAGAAAGGTGTGTGCTATCTGTACATGAAGGTGATCGAGAGGGCAGCTTTTCCCAGCAAACTTTGGGAAAAGGTCAAACTGTCCAGAAATTATGAACAGGCGCTCAAACAGATTGATGAAAATCTGATCTATTGGCCAAGGTGAGTTAATTATAGGTCAGTTCCATAGCATCTGGGGATGAACATGGTACATATAACATAGACCAAAATGAATACATTTCTGCAGGTAGATTAGGTCTTCAGCAACCCATGCATGCCGTAAAGGCAACTCTGCTTGTCGTAAAAGGCGACTAACGGCATTGGGTGGTCAGGCTCGCTGACTTGGTTGATGCATGTCATCGATCTCAATTGCGTGGATCGATGCTCATGATATTAATCACTGGATTGTCTGGTCCAGACTTGATTTGATTACAGACCGACGTCATATAGCTGAAATATTGCTGAGTGCAGCGTTAAATAACAAACCAACCAAACCCCTCCCCACATGCTCCCAAATTCTTAAAGACTCACAGATACATAGATACAATGTATTGACTATATGCCTGTTGTTAAGGTTACAATAACTTAGTAATAACTTATATCCAATGTGCTTTGAGATGTTGCTATGGTTACACACTGTTTGATGTTTTAGGTTTATCAGGCATAAGTGCAAACAGAGGTTCACCAAAATCACGCAGTATCTGATAAGAATAAGAAAGCTGACACTGAAAAGACAGTGAGTATTGTTCTAAGACATGTTTATATTTGTATGTTACCATAGTTACCATAGTGACAATACTCATGGTCATATTATGCACCACAAAATGATCTATACTGGTGTATTAGTAATAGTTTTGGTTCTGTAATGCATAAATTACCATGACTGGGATGATATGAAGTTATCAAGACAAAAGTCCAAAATGTATCGGCCTTTCAAGAAGAAACTGTGTTATCATGAACATGGCTGAAGTCTTTATGTAGGTTTACTGTGTTATTATGAACATGGCTGAAGTCTTTATGTAGGTTTACATTGTTATCATGAACATGGCTGTAGTCTTTATGTAGGTTTGCTGTGTTATCATGAACATGGCTGTAGTCTTTATGTAGGTTTACTGTGTTATCATAAACATGGCTGTAGTCTTTATGTAGGTTTACTGTGGTATCATGAACATGGCTGTACTCTTTATGTAGGTTTACTGTGTTATCATGAACATGGCTGAAGTCTTTATGTAGGTTTACTGTGTTATCATAAACATGGCTGAAGTCTTTATGTAGGTTTACTGTGTTATCATGAACACGGCTGTAGTCTTTACGTAGGTTTACTGTGTTATCATTAACATGGCTGTAGTCTTTATGTAGGTTCACTGTGTTATCATGAACATGGCTGTAGTCTTTATGTAGGTTTACTGTGTTGTCATGAACATGGCTGTAGCCTTTATGTAGGTTTACTGTGTTATCATAAACATGGCTGAAGTCTTTAAGTAGGTTTACTGTGTTATGAACATGGCTGAAGTCTTGATGTAGGTTTACTGTGTTATCATAAACATGGCTGAAGTCTTTATGTAGGTTTACTGTGTTATCATGAACATGGCTGTAGTCTTTATGTAGGTTTACTGTGTTGTCATGAACATGGTTGTAGTCTTTATGTAGGTTTACTGTGTTATCATAAACATGGCTGAAGTCTTTATGTAGGTTTACTGTGTTATCATGAACATGGCTGTAGTCTTTATGTAGGTTTACTGTGTTGTCATGAACATGGCTGTAGTCTTTATGTAGGTTTACTGTGTTATCATAAACATGGCTGAAGTCTTTATGTAGGTTTACTGTGTTATCATGAACATGGCTGTAGTCTTTATGTAGGTTTACTGTGTTATCATGAACATGGCTGTATGTAGGTTTACTTTGTTATCATGAACATGGCTGTAGTCTTTATGTAGGTTTACTGTGTTATCATGAACATGGCTGTACTCTTTATGTAGGTTTACTGTGTTATCATGAACATGGCTGTAGTCTTTATGTAGTTTTACTGTGTTATCATGAACATGGCTGTATGTAGGTTTACTGTGTTATCATGAACATGGCTGTAGTCTTATGTAGGTTTACTGTGTTATTATGAACATGACTCTCGTCTGTACATATGTTAACTGTCGCGCAGAGATTCCAGGTTAGAGTAGGTCCCCAGCAAACTATTCTAGTTTGTAAGGGGCAACGAAATGGAACAAGTTAATCTTTGCTTATAATATCAATCACTTGATTGTCTGGTCCAGAGTCGCTTGATTACAGGCCGCCATCGACTCGTCTTCATCAACCCATGCTTGCCGTAAAAAGCGTCTATGCTTGTTGCAAGAGGCGACTATGGGGATCGGGTGGTCAGACTTGTTTGATGCATGTCATTGTATCCCAATTGCGTGGATTGATGCTCATGATGTCAATCAGTAGATTGTCTGGACCAGACTCAATTCTTTGCAGACATATTATTTACATCATATAGCTGGAATATTGCTGAGTGCGGCATTAAGCATCTAACAAAGTGCGGCCTTAAACACCTAACAATGTGCAGCGTTAAGCATCTAACAAACAAAACCATAGGTTAACTGTGTTGTCGTGGAGATGACCATGACCTTGATGGTCTTTTGCAGGAAGAAGTTGGTTCCCCTTAGTCGGAAGGTAGAGAAGAGAGAATCAAGGAAAGAGGTGAGCCTGATATGTATGTCATAGAGAGCTGGCAATATTTCTTTAAAGGAATAGTGGTTAAAGCGTTCGCTCGTCATGGCAAAGACCCGGGTTCGATTCCCTGCATTGGTAAAATGTGTGAAGCCCATTTCTGGTGAAATGATTTTGTGAGATTGCCGTAATATTGCTGGAATATTGCTTAAAGCAGTGTAAAACCATACTCACTCACTCATTCACTTTTCATATGGCTGTCCGTGCCTCACAAGACAGATGTAGAAATGATTTGTAAACAATACATACAGGTGATCAATAAAGAAAACCTATCTAACTATGGTCATTTAATAGAATGAATTGGAGTGATATGCTTTGTGTGTTTCTAAGCCTTTTTTTTTTTGCTGCAGGAGAAGGCCTTTGCTGCTGCTCAGTTGACGACCTCAATTGAGAAGGAGCTCCTGGAGAGGCTGAAGAAAGGCACGGTAAGTACAGACAATCAGAGGGACCGGATTTCATGGAGCTGACATCAATATTATTTTATTGTATCAAATTTGAAATCAAGCAGTTTGTTCCAGATACATACATCCTGTCTGGATTCTTGGTTCCTTGAAACCATGCATGTCTCCCGGTTCAGTGTTGGGATTCTGGGTAATAGTAGCCCTTGTATGCCTGCTTGTTTAGTCTGATAATTCCGGGACTGAATAGATCCCTCGTACCCAATACTTGTTTAGCATGTTTAGTATGAGGATTCCCTTTCAGAATAGATCCCTCGTACCCAATACTTGTTTAGTATGAGGATTCCCTTTCAGAATAGATCCCTCGTACCCAATACTTGTTTAGTATGAGGATTCCCTTTCAGAATAGATCCCTCGTACCCAATACTTGTTTAGCATGAGGATTCCCTTTCAGAATAGATCCCTCGTACCCAATACTTGTTTAGCATGAGGATTCCCTTTCAGAATAGATCCCTCAGAATAGATCCCTCGTACCCAATACTTGTTTAGCATGAGGATTCCCTTTCAGAATAGATCCCTCGTACCCAATACTCGTTTAGTATGAGGATTCGACTTTAGAATAGGTCCCTACTACCCATTACTTGCTTACTCTGGGTATTTCCTGCAGAATAGATCCCTAGTATTCATTACTTGTAATGGAGGATTCCCTTTCAGAATAGATTCCTCGTACCCAATACTCGTTTAGTATGAGGATTCCCTTTCAGAATAGATCCCTCGTACCCAATACTTGTTTAGTAAGAGGATTCCCTTTCAGAATAGATCCCTCGTACCCAATACTTGTTTAGTATGAGGATTCCCTTTCAGAATAGATCCCTCGTACCCAATACTTGTTTAGCATGAGGATTCCCTTTCAGAATAGATCCCTCGTACCCAATACTTGTTTAGCATGAGGATTCCCTTTCAGAATAGATCCCTCGTACCCAATACTTGTTTAGCATGAGGATTCCCTTTCAGAATAGATCCCTCGTACCCAATACTTGTTTAGCATGAGGATTCCCTTTCAGAATAGATCCCTCGTACCCAATACTTGTTTAGCATGAGGATTCCCTTTCAGAATAGATCCCTCGTACCCAATACTTGTTTAGTATGAGGATTCAACTTTAGAATAGGTCCCTCGTACCCAATACTTGTTTAGTATGAGGATTCGACTTTAGAATAGGTCCCTCGTACCCAATACTTGTTTAGTATGAGGATTCGACTTTAGAATAGGTCCCTCGTACCCAATACTTGTTTAGTATGAGGATTCGACTTTAGAATAGGTCCCTACTACCCATTACTTGTTTACTCTGGGTATTTCCTGCAGAATAGATCCCTAGTATTCATTACTTGTAATGGAGGATTCCCTTTCAGAATAGATTCCTCGTACCCAATACTCGTTTAGTATGAGGATTCCCTTTCAGAATAGATCCCTCGTACCCAATACTTGTTTAGTAAGAGGATTCCCTTTCAGAATAGATCCCTCGTACCCAATACTTGTTTAGTATGAGGATTCCCTTTCAGAATAGATCCCTCGTACCCAATACTTGTTTAGCATGAGGATTCCCTTTCAGAATAGATCCCTCGTACCCAATACTTGTTTAGCATGAGGATTCCCTTTCAGAATAGATCCCTCGTACCCAATACTTGTTTAGCATGAGGATTCCCTTTCAGAATAGATCCCTCGTACCCAATACTTGTTTAGCATGAGGATTCGACTTTAGAATAGGTCCCTACTACCCATTACTTGCTTACTCTGGGTATTTCCTGCAGAATAGATCCCTAGTATTCATTACTTGTAATGGAGGATTCCCTTTCAGAATAGATTCCTCGTACCCAATACTCGTTTAGTATGAGGATTCCCTTTCAGAATAGATCCCTCGTACCCAATACTTGTTTAGTAAGAGGATTCCCTTTCAGAATAGATCCCTCGTACCCAATACTTGTTTAGTATGAGGATTCCCTTTCAGAATAGATCCCTCGTACCCAATACTTGTTTAGCATGAGGATTCCCTTTCAGAATAGATCCCTCGTACCCAATACTTGTTTAGCATGAGGATTCCCTTTCAGAATAGATCCCTCGTACCCAATACTTGTTTAGCATGAGGATTCCCTTTCAGAATAGATCCCTCGTACCCAATACTTGTTTAGCATGAGGATTCCCTTTCAGAATAGATCCCTCGTACCCAATACTTGTTTAGCATGAGGATTCCCTTTCAGAATAGATCCCTCGTACCCAATACTTGTTTAGTATGAGGATTCAACTTTAGAATAGGTCCCTCGTACCCAATACTTGTTTAGTATGAGGATTCGACTTTAGAATAGGTCCCTCGTACCCAATACTTGTTTAGTATGAGGATTCGACTTTAGAATAGGTCCCTCGTACCCAATACTTGTTTAGTATGAGGATTCGACTTTAGAATAGGTCCCTACTACCCATTACTTGTTTACTCTGGGTATTTCCTGCAGAATAGATTCCTAGTATTCATTACTTGTAATGGAGGATTCCACTTCAGAATAGATTCCTCGTACCCAATACTCGTTTAGTATGAGGATTCCCTTTCAGAATAGATCCCTCGTACCCAATACTTGTTTAGTATGAGGATTCGACTTTAGAATAGGTCCCTACTACCCATTACTTGTTTACTCTGGGTATTTCCTGCAGAATAGATCCCTAGTATTCATTACTTGTAATGGAGGATTCCACTTCAGAATAGATTCCTCGTACCCAATACTTGTTTAGTATGAGGATTCGACTTTAGAATAGGTCCCTACTACCCATTACTTCTTTACTCTGGGTATTTCCTGCAGAATAGATCCCTAGTATTCATTACTTGTAATGGAGGATTCCACTTCAGAATAGATCCCTCGTACCCAATACTTGTTTTTAGATAATATAAGATAAGATAACACTTTATTTTCCCTAAGGAAATCTGGGTTACATTAGCACAAGATCTCGGCTGTACACACACCAATTCTTTCTGTTAGTGTTCCTGGTCAGATGAGGTCCTTGTTGGCAAAGCTTGTGTACACAGGGGATCTCTTGTCCACATAGGCCCCAAGCACCTCATGTCTTCTTTGTACAGTGAAATCAAGGTGGATCTTGAAACACTTGTCAGCAGCTGGTAGTCTGTATGTCATTATGTAGAATCGTGTGCTATAGACCGGAGAGTGTTGCTGTATTGAGCCTCTGTGTTGTTCCAGTACGGAGACATCTACAACTTCCCCACCCATGCCTTCGACAAGGTGCTGGACGAGGAGGAGGTGGAGAGTGAGAGCGAGTCCGAGAAGGAAGGAGAGAAGGAGGAAGATGATGAGGAGGAGGAGTTGGAGAGAGAAGAGGAGGTAGGTGTTGGAAGTGTCCTTGATGAGAGAGGAGGGATGGTAGGGTTTGTGGAGGTGTGGTCGGCAAGAGTTACACCATAGTGTGTGAGCAATTCTCAAGGGCAGATCCAGTGGTTGTTTTTTTTCCTCTCTCAGGGGGTGGTCGGGTAGCCTAATGGTTAAAGCGTTCGCTCGTCACGCCGAAGATCCAGGTTCGATTCCCGACATGGGTACAATGTGTGAAGCCCATTTCTGGTGTCCCCAGCCGTGATATTGCTGGAATATTGCTAAAAGAGGCGTAAAGCCATACTCACTCACCCACTCATTTCCTCTCTCAGATAATTTTACTACCTACAACATTCTATGTTTGGTTTTAAAAAAGGGCGTCCGGACCCCCTGGAATCCCCCTTTGCATCCACCTATGATTATTAATTTATCATGAAAAGTCAATGGGTCCTTGTTATTACCATTTAAAGGGTGAAAATTTAAAATGATTAAAATCAGATAACGGTGCTCACTACACAAAGATCTGAAGGAACCTCATTTCAGTTCTTGTAAGAATAACCTTTCATCTGACCAATCAGACCAATCAATGTCACTTTAGGCGATCGGGAAAGTTGAATGGGTTTTCTAATCAGACAACCTCAAGGAGGTTGACATGAAGCATTGGACTAAACATTTGAAATGGAAGAGATTGGCTATGGAGGGTACTGCCACACAATCTCAGCAATCCATTAGACATCTCAGAATTCAAAGTTTAAATCGAGAACTTTGTCATAATATTTTTCAAAGCATTGTCGAAAGGAAGTCGATATTTTGAAACTGGTGCTGTTAAACTCAAAAAAGCTGCTCTACGTTCTGTCATTTTATTGATCGGTCCTTAGATCTTTGTGTTGCTGAAGCAAGAAGATTGTTTTTAGTTATCTTATGTCAGTGGAGTTGGTAAATCAAGTCATAATGGTCTTGCCTTAATTGGTAGGGCTGTGGCCCCGGGTTTTTTTCTTGTTTTTTTCAACACCATACCCATGCTTGTGGGTTTCACCAAAGTGATAAATGTCTGAGCCCTGCAACACTTCGGGCTTCAAACTGGTGTTCCCGTATTCGACGTAATAAGCGCCCCGATCTAATAAGCACCCACAGCGATTTATGCTAATATATTGGCTAGTAAACAATCCCAATTAGCACCCCTTGTACACAAGACTTATTTATTTGTGTATAATACGCACTTGTGTGTTATATGCACCCTTAATTATGGGCGATTAAATTCTGGAAAAATGTATCTGTCGTATATAAATAGTTCAGACTGTCAGCATAAACCACGAAATTTATCTTTCACCTCTGTTTTTTCCACCAAAGTAATATTCTAATAAGAGCCCCCTATTTCTAATTTTGAGAGCGCCCTGGGCGCTTATTGTGTCGAATACGGTTAACCCACATGACTCACTAATTAGTGGTTGATGTTTTGAAGCAACATTGCCTATTTTCACACCTTGTGATGATAGATTACGTGTTAAGTTATTTGTTTGCTGCACGCCATGAGAGTTACCTCCCTTTACTCAGCAACCCCTCCTGACAGTGGAGGTTAGAGTGTTTTTAAGTACATGTAGACTAACATGTCACCTGCGTTGTAATACAAAGTGGTTCTGTGTTGTAACAAGTGCTGCACAACACTGATTGGTTAAAAAGGTTTCAAGTGGGATTTGAAACCTACAATGCCATTCAAAGCAGTTCTTTCTGCTCATGGTAGCAAGCTCTAACATTTTATTTTAATGAGATTGTGAGACCTACAATCTCAAGATGATATTTCAGATTTTAGAATTTGTTCTCCCAAACTAATCACCTTAGGTTGTGATTGTTATCATTTTTTAATTACAGGGAGTTGGTGAAATTGAGTATGTAGCCGATGAAGACTTTGATGAAAGTGATGCGTCAGACATGGAGGTAAAGTACACATTAAGTCAATATAATAGTAACCATGGTAATGGAAAGAATGGAATATGGTCATTTAAACTCCAGTTTCAAAGCCATCTTCAAGATGTCACAACATTGAAATCAATGTCTGTGATATGTTTAAACTTTTTAGAGAAGTTAATTTTAATTGTAGAAGTCTTTAATCATGTTGTTTTCTTTTTCCCACCAATGAGTAAACTGTTTGCATGAACTAGTTTGATTCTACTAAGGCTGCATTTTAACTTGATGCTATATCTGGGGCTGTAATTCAACCACTCCACAGTCCATAGGTTTCCATGTCATTGGTGCAAATTGATTTGATTGTATCACCAAGCAAATGAAAGTCACCGCTGAAGTAGAGAAATTACTGAAGCAGATATGTATTTTTTCTGCCCAATGCACACCTTGAACATTGAGTGTGGAATGCACAACAAACTAAATGCCTGCTACTCTCGTTGGTGCCATTTCCTTCTTGTCATGACTGAGTTGATTAACACCCACCTCAAATGTTTCTTGTTCAAATTAAACTAAATAGCTTTGATATATATATACAAATTGACTTTGTGACAATCATTTGGAATATATGGTAAAAAATATGAATATTTATTCACAAATACAGTAACAGGTCATCAGATGTATTATTCATTATATTCAGTGAATCAATAACAAAATAAATTATTTGACATGGTTTGACCATGTTGACAGTGTTAGTGATTATTATATTATTATACATTTATATACTGCACTTATCCAGGTACGTTTGTACTATTATCTGCTAAAATGTGGCAAAGACCTGTGACCACATTACTGTCAAATTAAATATATAAGAGTGCTGTCTTTGAAGAAATCTACACATACATAATATTACATCTTGTGGATATTTTGAGTTAAAAACTCATTTTATTCATTTTTTATTCTGTTTTTATTCTTTTTTGATTACCGGTATTCGATTCTTGTGTCAAAGAATAACAAATCCAATTCATAAAGGGATACAGTTCAATTCACCGAATACATGAGTGAATCATAACAGCCCTAATAAACACATTAACTCATCAACAGCCTTACCTATACAGCATGGTTTGCACAGACCTTTAAAAGTTTGCCTTAGAAAAGCCTTAAATACAAAATTTGCTTTAAAAGGCCTGGAATTCAGACAAAATGACTTTAAAAGGCCTGGAATTGGTCACAAACAATCAAAGTCAAGTTTATTTTGCAATTTAGCTTTTAAGAAATAATAGTTGAGTTCATAAAAAGTATCTTTGCCTGCATGACTGCAAGAAATGTGAGTGTTTTTACATTGGAGTTACCTTTCATCCTCACTCGAGCTAGACTGGTTTGCCTGGCCACAGTTGAGCTGCTTGGAGGCAAAGGACAGGGTACCAGTCTACACTCAAACATGTCATCACATCAACTCTGATCTTTTCCGCCTAGCTATTCAAATCACTCGGCTATTTCACACTTTGACGGAATAGCACGATTGTTGTACATGGCAATTATTTAATGTGTTTCTCTTTATTAGGGACCTGTGAAGATTCCGGGGTAGAATAGGTCTTCAGCAACCCATGCTTGCCGTAAAAGGCGACTATGCTTGTTGTAAAAGGCGACTAACGGGATCGGGTGGTCAGACTCGCTGACTTGGTTGATTCATGTCATCGATCCCAACTGCGTGGATCGATGTTCATGATGTCAATCACTGGATTGTCTGGTCCAGACTCGATTATTTACAGACCGCCGTCATATGGCTGGAATATTGCTGAGTGTGGCGTAAAACAACAAACCAAATCTCTTTATTAGGGCCTTAATCTGTATGAAGGAGCCTGGGAAAAGGCCTTAAGAAGGCCTGAAATGTAGTGACTAAAACTCTGTATGAACCATGTACAGGCAGATTAATAAATATGTCATCATATGATCAAACGGGATCCCAAACCCATGCTAGTTGTACGAGGCTACTCAAGGATCGGATAGTCAGCGTACCCGACAGTGTGGATAGATGCTCATATCCACCACTGGATTGTCTGGGAGAGACTTGATTATTTACAGTGGCCCTGTTGATGGAATATTGTTTAGTGTGTTGTTAAACAACAAACAGAAAACAAGAAATATGGTGACCACTTTTGTAGCGCTAGAACACAGATATGGCTTCCTGTGGCAGTACCCATTGTCCTCGTGTCTTGTCTTGCCTTTCGTTCAAGTTTGTTTTTTCAGTTCGATGTTGAAGCAGGTTTGATGGTGTAGATGTTGTCATTCTTTGTTGTACAGGACATGGGAGATAGTGACTCATCCGACAGCTCCTCGTCTGAAGATGAAAAGCCCAAAAAGGCTGCAGCTCGAAGGAAACGTCCCCGTGTTGAAATTGAATATGAGCAGGAAACAGATCAGCCGTCGACATCCAAGGTCAAGGCTGTGTCATGATGACCACGTTCTTGTCAAATACTCTTCATACTGATGTAAGAAATACAAAAATGTTTTATGGCATATTTTCATCAACTTAACTCTTTTAGATGATTTTCCTTGTAATCCTATGTGTCCCCAGTAACCTATGCTGGTCATAAGAGATGACTAAATGCATCGTGACGTCAGGATCCGTAACTTAGTTGATTGCGTGTCATCATACCCTGATGAAATATTGCAGAGTGCTGCATTCAACAACAAACAAAAACACATAGCTTGGAGTTGTCTATGGATTTTGTGATTTTCACCCGACAGAAGCGTTTATTGTTGATTTAGACAACATGGCAGACTTTGACTTCCATCAGTCTTATGTTTAAGGTCTGCACATTGTAATAATACAACACTGAAAGGAGGAGTATTTTCCCCCCTGCCTCTTGAAGAATGAAGACACGTCTAATGTTAACATTTCAACGTCAGATGCTTGAGTTAACAGGGCTGTCTTCTTGTATTTCATGTACTTGTGTTCGTGAATGTAAATTATTTCAGACGTGGTGTAATTTGAAGTTTGAAGAATCTCTGAATGCCTCAAGGACTATAGTCAAATTTAATTGACAATTTTGGTAAATTTTCACGCAGCTCTTAATGTAGAGTCCTCAAGATAATGGTTTGTGTTATCCCCACAATAACACAGTTGTAAATACCTTTGTTGCTAAAACAGGCTGAATAGGCTGGAGAAGGGCTGGGACGGGTAACTCGGGTACCGACTACCCGGACGCATGGTTAGTCACGTGATATTGTTTCATAACAAAAATTCACAATATAACTACATGGATACTCAACAATTTTAAGTCTCTAATGTTCACATTTCTTCATGACTATGAACACGTTCCTTCTGACTTATATATATTTGAACAAAGCTAAAACTTCAGTCAACTTCAGTGTATGCATGACCACATCGTTTTATACCTTATCTAAATACATTCTGCCAGGGCTACTGTCAAACTATTTCTAATCGGACATTTTGTACCTATCTCTTGACACAAACAGCGGGTACCCGGGTAGGGTCAAGTAACAGGGGTGTGGGTACGCGGGTAGTAAATTTGGACTCGTTCCAGCCCTAGACTGGTGATTATTACAGTGTCAAACATAGTGGTCCCACAGCTAAGGGAGAATTCTGCCTGGATTAACAGAATCCTTGAAGAAGATGATTTTTCCATGTTGTGGAATTGTCTGGCCCAGACTGTATTTACACACCGCCATCATATAGCTGGAATATTGCTGAGCGTGGCGTTATATACAACAAACAAAAGTTGTGATTGTAGTCAAGTGCTGTTTTTCTGTTAACTGAATAAACAATTACTTCAACACTAGCACTACAAATAGGTTTCAAAGTCATGGAACCATCTCAAAGAAGACTCTTATCCTTCAAGTAATTTGAGCGAAATGTTTCATACCAGATAAATGTTAGCTCTTAACATGGATATTTTGATGTACAGATATACTGTATGGAGTGACTATAATGTTCAAATAAAGATAGATTTATGAATAAATGGTTCTGCTTGTCCATATGAAACTGGTCAGTGTTGGTGTACAGAGTAGTTAGAGTGAGTGAGTGAGTATGGTTTTACGCCGCTTTTAGCAATATTCCAGCAATATCACGGCGGGGGACACCAGAAATGGGCTTCACACATTGTACCCATGTCGGGAATCGAACCCGGGTCTTCGGCATGACAAGCGAACGCTTTAACCACTAGGCTACCCGACCACCCCTCAGAGTAGTTAGAACTCAGTCGGATTCCAGGTTGAAACTCCTCCCTAGACATGTTAAGACCTGTGGTGGTCATAAGAGGTGATGGACCTGTGAAGATAGGAAGGTAGAATAGGTCTTCAGCAACCCATGCTTGCTGTAAAAGGTGACTATGCTTGTCGTAAGAGGTGACTAACGGGATCGGGTGGTTGATGCATGTTATCATATCCCAATTGCGTGGATCAATGCTCATGATGTCAATCACTGGATTGTCTGGTCCACACTAGATCATATACAGACCGCCATACAGCTGGAATATTCCTGAGTGCGGTATTAAACAACAAACAAACATAAGAGGTGAAAGCGTCATGCTCAGTGACTTGGGCCAATTGCATGTCATTGTACACCGACAGCATCAATCATTGATCATAATATCAATCACTGGATTGTTTGGTCCAGATTCAATAATTACAAGCCACCATCATGGAGCTGGAATATTGCTAAGTGGGGATGTAGTTAATGACATATTAAGCTGTGATTAACACTTTCCCTGGTGTCTAACTGGAATACTGTTGACTGCAGTGTTAAAACAGTACTTGGTAAGACCCGTGAAGATCCGGGGTAGAATAGGTCTTCAGCAACCCATGCTTGCCGTAAAAGGCGACCAAGGGGATTAGGTGGTCAGGCTTGCTGACTTGGTTGATGCATGTCATCGATCCCAATTGCGTGGATTGATGTTCATGATGTCAATCACTGGATTGTCTCGTCCAGACTATTTACAGACAGCCTTCACATAGCTGGAATATTGCTGAGTGCAGCGTAAAACAACAAACCAACCAACCAACCTTGTTTCAGGTCAAGCCCAGAAGAGATATTGAATTAACCCAAGCATTCTTTTAAACGCAATGTCTTCTGTACAAAACATCAGCGTTACAGTAAACAGTTTTTACGAGGATTAAAAAAATAAAAGAATGGGTTCTCAGGCAATGACTTTTGAAAATATTTTGCGGGCGGGTGGTGTTTCTTCTTTTTTGGGGGGTATGTAACCATAAACAGTTGTGTACATAAACAAGCATACAAACTCCTATTACCGCAATGAGCATAAGAAGATGCGCAGTGAAGCAGTGCACATGTAAAGGGAAGTAACTGCTTGCTATAATGGATCGCATTGTTTTGAAGTATTATGGTTTTTACATTTTTTTAAAATGGAAAGAAAAACAAAAAATTTGGTGGACATCATTTAAAAATGATGACCAAGACTTATTTTTTTTAGCCTGAATGGGTGATGCCTGAATTTGATCCATAAATGATGATGTGTAAAGCCGAAAAGGCTTCATTGGGTTCTTAAAAATGTTCATGCATATTTGTATGCAAGCAGTTCAAAATGAAATGGGTTATTGGGATATATTTTGTTTATTTTACACAAATAAGCAGCATGGAGCTCTGCTGATTGTTAACCTGATGAAGTGGCAACACCTGACCATTATCTTTCTATTGTTAACATTGCTTTCGGAACAAGACACCCACCTTCCAGAAACCACCTGCAGGAACTGGTCACATGCACACACAGTGACATTACACTGTAACCACATACCTTCACCACGCTTTCTTATAACAACGAGGCGATTTTATCCAACAAAACAAACATCAAGAGACCAAAACTTCCCGCAAAGCAATTTAATCCAATTATGTTCCAACAAAACGTGTTCAAAATCAATAACATCGATGTGATGAGAAGAAGCAATAATTACCGAGATGCGTTTGGAAGTGAAGAAAGATCAAAAGTGACAGTTCTGTGTCATGAGACAATGTTGAAAGTCACTGCAGTTTGATCTCCCAGGTCGCTCTGACCACAAGCTATCTAACGCTTCTTTAATGATCAAAAGCGGCCCTGCCTTATATGGCAGCATAGTCAATAAGTATGAAATTGTATTCAAAATAACAAAAACTTGGCTCAAAGTGTAATGATGCCCAGACATTTGAAAACGGTTGAGAAAAACCAGCATCAATAGAAATACACATGTCCTGTACATTTACAAAATATATTCCTGCAACAGCACTACCATATAGTAACACACTGAATAATTGAAAATATCCTGCATCAGTTAGTTTATGTTTTGTTCCACACAAGGAACTGATTGGATGTTTTTTCAGAAAACTGATGAGGATGCATAATTCAATCAACATCCTTGTACTTTCCAATACAAACCCCCTACTGATGTCGGAGAAAACAAGTTTGGCATGAATGATTAATTTCTAACATTTACAATTTACATTTACAATAATGCTGTGAGCATGCTGAGAGAAAGCCATTTTGACTTCATAAAATGAAAACAGCCAGGGATTACCAATAGTGAGTGAGTGAGTTGGGTTTAACGCCGCTTTAAACAGTATTCCAGTTATATTGCGGCGTGTCAGCTTAATGTGGGAGGAAAGCCCGAAGTGATGCAGGTCTCCCGACGTTTACCACTTTGGTGAGACCCACGAGCACGGGTAAGTTGCTGACAAATATTGAAACATAATCTTGGCGAACCGGGATTCAAACCCACATTCATAGGTTTCTAATGTACCCAAGGGACACAACTCTGCACAGTGAATCACGGCGCCTTAGATGCCTGGGCCACCTGGGCCACCCGTGCCCATCCCCAGTCTAACAATAACATATTGACTTGTCGAGTAGTATTTGAGAAGAAGAGTTTTAGTTGTAATTCATTGCTAACAAACAGACGATGGACAAAAATATATATATACATACACCCATGGTATCTCGCATGGAAAACATAAATGAGGCGTTTGTTGAAATTCAAGTAATTAGCTTATTTCGTTGTGTGAGATGATTATGATAATAAAGACAGTAACCATAGCAACAGAAGAACTGTCTAAACCTGTTACAGAAAATATGTCCCCCCATGTACAAGATACGTCACTGCAATGTTTTTAACAGCAAAGTGTTGAAACTGAGGCTGACACTTCATACGTATATACATCACAGGATACATTAAAGAAAGGAAACCGAGAGACTGACATCAACAAACAAGATGACATGAACAAATATTTTAGTTAAAAAAAGAAAGAAATTATTGAAGGTACTTTGTTGTTAATGAACAAGATGAAAAAAATCCTATGCAACAGAATACAGGATTTGTTGTCCTCAATCACTCCTTCCTTTAAAATACTGAAAGTAGCACTTTATCATTTTAACTTGATTTGTGTGTTTTTTGTTCATAATAACTAATCTTGATACCTTGTGATGAATATTTCATTATTTTCTTAAGCTCCCTTCCACCCAGCCAGAAAGAGCAAAATGTATAACAAATATTAAATGCAACAAGAATTGTTACACCCTTTCACTATAGCCAGACATTGGAACCTATCCATTCCTCAGCCAATGAAATTCCTTCATAAATCAACTTCAGGAAGCATCCTCTCCACCAACATGCACCATGCCAATGTGGGGACCTGACAGAAAAGACAACATTCAGTTTCCCCAACAATCTAGTCTCCAGCTTCTGTCAGTATTATATCTCCCCTCGGACACCCTCAGAAGAACTCGTCCATGACGGAGTGGTCGTTGGGCTGCAAACCTCTCTCCATCAGCGCCTTCTTCTTCTTCTCTTCCTCTTGCTGCTTCTGCAGCTGCTCTTCTCTCTGCATCTCCAGTATGTCATCTATGGACACCTGCTCCAAGGGCAGGTTATTCTCATTCTCCAGGTCCTGAGGAGACAAACATGAACATACATTTACAACACACTTCCATTTTACGGGTTCCAAGACTAGCCTCCCTCACTTGCCCTGATAGTGATACTTGAGTCATGACATGATAACAATATTATAAGTTGCAGCATGATCACGAGGGGTACGTGGGGTTTTATGGGTGACTCGTTAGGTTTTATACCACGAAACTCCGACATGTTTTAATGTGACATTGAAAAAGAATTAACACAAATTTGACAGTTGTTCAATTCAGAGGTTAGCTTGTGCTTTTTCACCTTGACTTGGAAAAAGCGTGCAACTTTTTGCTTGGAGGTATAAGGGATTTATTCTGTCTCTCTGAAATTCACATTCAGCCTGTATTGCTCGTGGCAGGGTATAAGAGATTTATTCCCCTGCTGAGAAATTTATTACCCTCAAAGGTGTGAACCAATCAGATTCTGACATAGAGGTATGATAATGATATTTAATTATACTGATTTGGTGTGAAATTCTCCATATACTATGGGGTCCTGCTAACAAAAGGTTGTTGATCTTGTTGACCATGTCATGTAGCCAAAATCTTATCAAACAATTAAAAAAAAAGTATTATGCAGAGCTCCAGATAAGCTTTTGGTGTTGTGGGTAATTTACCCATGCATCATTGGGTATCAGCAGTTCTATCTGGGTATTCAAATTTCTGTTACCCACAAGTTTTTACACATGTGAGTATTTAGTTAAATATTTAAAAACACTATTCATCTAGTCACTGCAAACTGGTGTTGTGTTGGTTCGAGAGCTTTATAGGACCCAAAAATACCACGATACTTCCACAAGAAAGTGTGATGGCAAATGATCATGATGTAACTGTCATCGTGGAGTTTGGCAATGTCCGTTTATAATTTCAAAACAAGTTGCTCATTTGCTAATCAAATACGCAGGGTTACTTCACAATATTTTGATGATACGCACAAGTATTATTTTTGTAGTGAATCTGTAATGTCCGTTGTGTATTTGATACGCTTGGATTTTATTTTACTGCGTATTTCTGTATTTTTTATGTGTATTTTACGCAGCTTATCTGGAGCTCTGTATTATGTATTAAGCATATCTTTAGTAAATATTTTTTCAAAGTCAGTGTGTGGCCATATTGAATGTCATCTTTGCCCATTTCTCAGTAACTGCTGTATGTGTCTATGAAATTTGAGAGGCAGCAAGTTTGTGGTACATTTGACTTTCATTAGCCCGTTTGTCTAATGTTTAACACACTTGAGATATTTCCTCTGAAACTGCAAGGCCTATGGAGCTGAAACATTGTATGAATGATCCCTGTTATGGTGTCTCTCAAAGGTGTTCACAGAATTCCAATCCGATAGTAAACATGATGCCATTACTTCTCCATATTTCTGCTGAGCTTCATCAGCCTGTTGCTTTAGTTTGTTTTGTATGGATCCACAGGCCTATAAAGCTCCACTCAACTTGTTTATGAAGTCAAAACTTCATTATTTACTGGCCATCAAGAAGTCCGAGATTTATGTAGGATTTAAAAAAGTCCCTTTGCCTGGCAAATTAGGAAAAAGTCATTATGTTGTACAAAAAAGGGATTTTCTAAAGTTATTATTTTCTAAAATATAGAGGCATCATAACATTGCATACAATACATTATAGCTAAAATGGATAGAATTATCATTAAACCGCCCGCACGTTATCAGAAATGAGCGGGCCACTGTAACTTGATAATGCCCTCATATTGCTTGACGACGGGCCATTATCAAGCCCGTTGTTAGGTGACGTCATAGGGTAGAGAAAATGACGTCACGTATTATAGTGACGTCATCTGGTTTGTTCTATGACGTTTCCATATTTGTAAAATGTGGTCAGTGACATTCGTGCTGATTGCAGTAAGTGTTTCAAAACCGATGTTGTTGTTTCTTTTTATTTGATAACAAATTCCAACCATTTTAGCTATAATAACGGTAACGCTCTTTTTCAGGGCTTTATCATTTGCAGAAGCCCTTGGTCTTTTCAACTGCCCTCCTTCGTCGGGCAGTTAATAGAAAACCTCGGGCTTCTGCAAATGATAATGCCCTGGAAAATAGCGTTACCCTTCTAATAACAGCACTTCCTCTTTTATTTGGCTTGTTATCAGTGAAATTCCAAAGGCACACCCCTTAACATCTCCCCCCCTTCCAAATAGACTGGAGGTAATTTTACTCTAAGGAGTCAGCCTTGGGATCAGTGGCAAAATTAACCTGCTATCATACTTGCAACAAGAAACTACATTTAAAAGCAAGCAAATCACAGACTTCGGTTGGACTCGCACAGTACTTACTTACACTCTTCCATTTAACCTGGACATACGTTTCCTGAAAAAGAAGGATTCACGCCTAAAACTTATCAGCCAATCAAATCAGTGCTTGGGCAAGATTAACCTGTAATTTTGGCAATACTTACAATTTCCCCACAAAGCACGACATTCTCCCCTCTTACGATGAAGATGCCTCTAGGAATGTCGCCATACTTCTTCCCCACATGAATTCTTTCGATAGTCCGATGCAGGACGAGGTTTGCTGCACAAACAAACAAATGTGTTAGAGAATCTAACTCTTAATTCTTCTCCTTTTTTCCATGTTTATTCAAGTTTTCCCTTTTTGAATGTGACAAAGTACTTCCTGCTTTCAATATTTAGACAATCTTATTAAATGACAAAACAAGTACACTCAATTAAGAGGAATCTCGGTAAAATCAGATCTTTTCGTCTCATACGTTGCTTCTCTGTGTTGAGATCTGGGGACACGTCTATAGGAAGTGGGTCATGCGACATGAGGGACCTTTGACCGCCAGTCTAAATGAAGGATGCGTGGGTTCTTCAGTCAGTTTTCTAAAATGAATGGCTTCATTTCTTTACTACCTCTATTTGGAATTTTTTGTTTAACAGGAAAACCCACACCGGGTACAAATATGCATTCAATGCAAGGTACTCTTTTTTGTTGTTGATGACATGGAACTCTGGTCGAGAAAATAATCAAAACAATATGATTGTGCAGCCTTCATGATGTGCACTCAGGAAAGGTTGATTAGCTCGTTTTTCTGAGATACAGAAATCAGATATGCTTGTCCTAATGTTTTGCGCACTCTTTCCAAGAACATAGAAGCCTTGACACTGATTGGTGGATCAGAAATTTCACCCTATACAACCTATGAAGGTGTCCTCGGATCTTAATGCAGAGAGGTATGGTATGCAGGTAAAAGATATGATTATCATGAGATTGAGGTTTAATTTTGCACTCAGCAATACTACTGCTACATGATGGTGACCTGTACTTGAGTGACTTGGGATTAATACCGTTTTGAACAGTTTAAGTCCATTTAAATCACGTGTCAGTTCAACGTGGGAGGAGAGCTTTAAGTGGTGCTGGTCTCAGATATTTTCCAATTTGATATAACCCCTGAGCACTGACTGGTATGACACTGACTAACCTAGAAACAATGAGATGGAACCCGGATTCGAACCCACAATCATAGGATTCTAGCATTCCCAAGGGACGCAACTCTGCCCAGCAAATTGTTGCACCTTAGAAAAGTGGGCCACCTGAGACCACCTAATGGCCTGTAAATAACTGAGTCTGGGCCTGACAATCTGTGAGGAAGCTGAGCAGGGACTACACACTAACCATGAGTGAGTGGGGACTACACACTAACCATGAGTGAGTGAGTGAGTGAGTGAGTGAGTGAGTGAGTGAGTGAGTGAGTGAGTGAGTGAGTGAGTGAGTGAGTGAGTGAGTGAGTGAGTGAGTGAGTGAGTGAGTGAGTGAGTGAGTGAGTGAGTGATATGGTATGGTATCACGGCAGGGGACACCGGAAATGAGCATCACACATTTTGCCCATGTCATGAATCAAACCCGGGTCTTCGGCATGACGAGCGAACGCTTTAACCACTACGCTACCCGACCACCCCCACTCATCATGATACTGAAATAGGTCAGTAATACCAAGCTCCTCATGTCTATGAGTCAGCATCCATCCATAATCCTAATAGTGAATTCATATTAGAAATAACAATGGACTTTCAGTGCCTACCAATAACTTGATGCATTCAAAAATGAAAATCATCTCAGACTAACAATTTCCACAATCTTCCTGTCACTCAAAAAATGCAAACATTACCAAAATAACAATTTCTGTCAGTGTCTGTTGTCTTGAACATGAATATAAAATTAACAATTTCAGTTGTGGATTGAGCAAGGAAAGACATCCCCGGTAGTGCTACTGATCCATTTACATAATTGACCAGCCATTTGGTGAGTCAGTCATACATACACATTAAAGTTCATGTAGTTTTTCTGATACACTACATTTATTCTTTGCATTGTTATCTTGAAGTTTATCTTGAAGTCAATGTAAGAAGTGTGACATTTGTAGCAATGTGAATTTCTATTATTCAACATGTTCATGTAACTCCAATCCGATATGAGGCATTGAAAATATATTTTCTGCTTTTCTGTTACTTCATCACTAAAGTTGTATGGAGAAAATGTATGGGGAAAAGAATTAAAATATAAACACAAATGTAAATACATAAAGAAGTGAATAGCTATCTACATCATTGCAATTGAGACCGCCTCCGTGGTCTAGGGGTAGAGCATCCAAAAGACATAATAAGATGGGACTTGTTGTTACCCTGTCTGGTGCTCGGCATTAAGGGACTAAAACAAGGACTGGTCGGCTCGGAGTCAGTGTACTGTGTGGGGTATTCATATTAAACTGCGGCATGGTATCTCAGTGTGCTAGCACTATAAATGGGCAGCAGTCCGGACTAGTACAAGCAGCCACACACACACACACACACACACACACACACACACACACACACACACACACACACACACACACACACACACACACACACACACACACACACACACACACACACACGTCGCTATATAAGTGCAATAATCTTGAACGCAACATTAAACTTCATTTCACCTCACTTCATTGCAACTGTAAAAGATGTGGCTGATTGGGGATCGACTGGTCAGATTCTATGACTTGTCTGACTGTGTGTCATCATGGACACTAAATATATTCAGCACTATTGTACCATGACATCAGTGATGTTGATCATATAATCAACTACTTCCATACATCCTGAGGTACATTCTTCTAGACCTTGCACAGACAATGACCCAAACAGCTAAACTTCCCCTGCTGGGTAATTTAAAGTTAATAGTGGAAACGTGTTCAGAGGAAACAAGAGGACCAATGTCTTTTGCACACAGATGTCAAGATGAAGGAATCTGAATGAGTGAAATAAAGCTAGGTATGTAAGCCTCAACCTCTCCTGGTTTAGACTTTAGACATAGTATACCTGTAATAAGCTTAATAATGAGTATTACTTTGAGGCTTATAGCGTATAGAAATGTCACCAAGTATTGGTATTGAAAACATGGCACTTTAATTGGTTTTCAAAACAAGCATTAAACTCCAAGGTTACATTCAAACACATCTAATTGTGAAATGTTAAATGGTAACATGTTTACATTCGAAATTAGCCTCAACTTGAACCCCACTAATAAATAAAGGATCCACACTATTATTAAAATCGTTCTTATGAGGTTTATTGGATTTAGTTATCATGGCTATGGCAAGAGAGAGAGAGAGAGAGAGAGAGAGAGAGAGAGAGAGAGAGAGAGAGAGAGAGAGAGAGAGACAGAGAGAGGGGTTTATTGGATTTAGTTATCATGGTTATGGCAAAGAGAGAGAGAGAGTACTGAAACTTAATAAGTGTAAAATAATTATTCCCTCTGGCCGCTCACAAAAAATATAAGTACATACCAAATTGATCAATGCTCCGTAGATACCCTATCAAAGTTCTCCCATCTCGTAACACCACCAGGAGCTTCTCTGCAATAATATGGGTATAAGAATATATAAGGTGTTCATGCAGTTAGCAACACAGAATTTTGATTAATCCGAACACAGAACATTTAAAATGACAGTGTGACACTCCTAGTGACAAGACAATTACTAATATTTTGAGGCGACTGCAATGAGTCGTGGGTCCGCATCCCTGCCGTATACTGCACTTACTATCTATCTCCTGAATTAGACTTGCAGTTCCTGGCAGATAATTCATTGTCAGCGACAACTAGGATTGTAAACTTCGCAACGTTCTCACTGCAGGCGAGCATGGATGATTTTGACCTTCACCTTAGTAGCTTGTTCGCTCAACACAACGCTAGGCTCGTGTTATTGGTTTTACCAGCAGTGGGCTTCGTCGCGGTATGGAGCTTCCGGGCAAACACGAACGAAATAAAACAATCCGAACCACACTTTGATGACCGGGACTTCCCGTATTTAAACCCCGGGCCTAATTACGGAAAATAGCGCTTTCTCATTTAAAATATGTTATCCGAAATTAAGCCCGGGGTTCAATTTCGGAAGCTAACGCTTTCTTACCTAAATAGGGGACACCCTTTGCTGAAAAAAATCAGAAACTGCATGGTAGATCTACTGTTCGTATGTTGCATAACGTCAGTATTCCAGCTGTGTGACGGCGGTCTGTAAATAATCGAGTCTGGACCAGACAATCCAGTGATTGACATCAAAAGCATCGATCTACGCAATTGGGAAATGATGACATGCATCAACCTAGTAACCGCAAGTCTGACCACCCGGTCCCGTTAGTCGATCGATGGCCTCTTAATTAAAATTGGTCTAACCGGATCATCGTGTTTTAACTAAGAAAATATTAAACAGGAATTTTAACTTTGAACCGGACTTAGAATCTACTATTGAATGCACTTTATTAGGATTTACCTTGTGCAGTTCATCGCCCCGTATTAACTTTCGAAGGAAGTACGTTATTAACTTAAATTAAGAAAGATCACTCCAAAATTAATATCTGAATTAAAGTCCATGGACCTAAATATGAAATTATTTCCGTTTTTAGGCCCACGAGGGTACATTACGCGTGAGCCTAAATGCGGGAAGTCCCGATAGTATCTGTTGGGTTGGTATTTGCTGTTTATGACACGGTTTAATTCCGAAAGATTTAATACCAATATTAAAAACATAAAATATACGTTGCGATAATTATATTGTTTAATGCACAACAATGCTTTATGTTCATAAATTATGTATATTCCAAACATATTTATGTGGATATCTGTGTAAAGATGAGGGCAATATTGGTCACAAAAGAACCGCACGCATGAGACTTAATGTTAAGATCTTCGAGATAATAAGACGCTAACACTATAATGCCTTGAGCTCAGTCTTCAGTTCGGGCAAATACCAGTTTTCGTCATTCATGATACAAGTAGGCCTACAAGTATTACCGGCTGATTACAGAGAGACAAGTTGGTTTAATGTCGACTGAAGTTTATATGTTCCCGCGGATACATTGAGAAATGTTGGACCGTAACTACCGCCGCGCCGCCAAGCGGACATGGGCCAACAAGGGCTGCTGGTTTCTATTCAATTCATTTCCAGGAGATAAAAGTTTATGACTAAGAACATCGCTGCTGTAATGCAAAGTTCTGATGAAAATGTTTTTAGACTGAATGAAGTTATAATATATTGCTTGTTCATAGTCATTTTATAGTCTCAGTAGAAACTGACACAACATTTTCTGCTTTCGTGTAATATTTTATGCAGCCTGAATAGAAGTTCAATGATATTATTATACACACCTTATACCTACCACATCCACCTTATTTAATAAAGTGACCGACAACTCGCACTCTTCAGCAACCAATGATTGCTGTAAAAGGTGACTATGCTTGTCGTAAGAGGCGACTAACGGGATCGGGTGATCAGGCTTGCTGACTTGGTTGATGCATGTCATCGATCCCAACTGCGTGGATCAATGCTCATGATGTCAATCACTGGACTGTCTGGCCTAGACTCGATTATTCACAGACCGCCGTCATATAGTTGGAATATTCCTGAGTGCGGCGATAAACAACAAACAAACAAACAAACAAATCTACTCCGTGGCGGCTCGTACTTGTTTATTAATGGGCCACATAGGGAAGACATCATTGTAAGGCCACATAGTGAAGACATCATTGTGAGGCCACATAGTGAAGACATCATTGTGAGGCCACATAGTGAAGACATCATTGTGAGGCCACATAGTGAAGACATCATTGTGAGGCCATATAGTGAAGACCTCATTGTGAGGCCACATAGTGAAGACATCACAGTGAGGCCACATAGTGAAGACATCATTGTGAGGCCACATTGTGGAGGCATCATTGTGAGGCCACATAGTGAAGACATCATTGTGAGGCCACATAGTGAAGACATCATTGTGAGGCCACATAGTGAAGACATCATTGTGGGGGCACATAGTGAAGACATCATTGTGAGGCCACATAGTGAAGACATCATTGTGAGGCCACATAGTGAAGACATCATTGTGGGGCCACATAGTGAAGACATCATTGTGAGGCCACATAGTGAAGACATCATTGTGAGGCCACATAGTGAAGACATCATTGTGAGGCCACATAGTGAAGACATCATTGTGAGGCCACATAGTGAAGACATCATTGTAAGGCCACATAGTGAAGACAACATTGTGAGGCCACATAGTGAAGACATCATTGTGAGGCCACATAGTGAAGACATCATTGTGAGGCCACATAGTGAAGACATCACAGTGAGGCCACATAGTGAAGACATCATTGTGAGGCCACATTGTGGAGGCATCATTGTGAGGCCACATAGTGAAGACATCATTGTGAGGCCACATAGTGAAGACATCACAGTGAGGCCACATAGTGAAGACATCATTGTGAGGCCACAAAGTGAAGACATCATTGTGAGGCCACATAGTGAAGACATCATTGTGGGGCCACATAGTGAAGACATCATTGTGGGGCCACATAGTGAAGACATCATTGTGATGCCACATAGTGAAGACATCACAGTGAGGCCACATAGTGAAGACATCATTGTGAGGCCACATTGTGGAGGCATCATTGTGAGGCCACATAGTGAAGACATCATTGTGAGGCCACATAGTGAAGACATCATTGTGAGGCCATATAGTGAAGACCTCATTGTGAGGCCACATAGTGAAGACATCACAGTGAGGCCACATAGTGAAGACATCATTGTGAGGCCACATTGTGGAGGCATCATTGTGAGGCCACATAGTGAAGACATCATTGTGAGGCCACATAGTGAAGACATCATTGTGAGGCCACATAGTGAAGACATCATTGTGGGGGCACATAGTGAAGACATCATTGTGAGGCCACATAGTGAAGACATCATTGTGAGGCCACATAGTGAAGACATTATTGTGAGGCCACATAGTGAAGACATCATTGTAAGGCCACATAGTGAAGACATCATTGTGAGGCCACACAGTGAAGACATCATTGTGGGGGCACATAGTGAAGACATCATTGTGGGGCCACATAGTGAAGACATCATTGTGGAGCCACATAGTGAAGACATCATTGTGAGGGAGGGAATTTCCTGGTCAACTCTAAATGAGACCAGCTATTATTCAGGCATCAAGTTTCCAGACATATGCTTCCATTGTGGCCATTTTGATGAATGCGATGGAGAAGTGTCATCTCTAAGAGAGAAATGTATGCAATTGTACGCCCAATATGTGAAACCTGCTTTCAGTCTGGAAACCTTACTGCAACCAGTAACGCGCTGAGCGTACAACCCACTGGAAGAAAGAGACATCGACTTAACCGAAACCTTTGTCAACCCCCGTTCATTGATGAGCCTGAAGTGATGTTGCTAAAATAGCATAAAATCCCACATCACTCACTCACTCATTTAGGTTCCACGTCTACAGACTGCAGGACACGGATCTGTCCCCCAAATTAAGTGTTGCTTATGTTTGATAGTAATTTTTGTAATTTAGTTTAAATGTATTTTGATATTAATTAAGACAATGGACACATTGGGCAAACTGTCTTTATTTAATAATATGTCCATACAACAGAACTGACATGCTAGACATGATTTTATATCTACTGAAAATACATGTGAGAAATATATTCGATATCATATTCTAAAACGAAACGGTAATAAAATCAGGTCCTGTCATACTATACCATATCAAACATTAAATATGCAAACCAATCGTTCATAAAAATACACTTCAGAGTTAAGTGTTTATTGTTTGTAGTGATAATCTTTCAGACCACATTAAAAATGTGTTGCATATATTTTATTGCACCTATTCCACAGACCATGCATTGCACAAGGTTAAATACATACATCTTTTGTGTAAATAAATAAATAAATAAATGAATAAATAAATAAATGAAATAGCTAGAGCTTTTATTTCGACCGATCTTTTGTGGAAGAGTTTATTAAACCCGTGAAACATAAAATTAAAAACGTGTGGCCTTAGACACAACTAACTCTTGCACTTATATGCACTTTCCCCAGCGAAGTCCCCGTTAGAACTGACCCGTGAAGATTCCGGGATAGAATTATAGGTCTTCAGCAACCCATGCTTGCCGTGAAAGGTGACTTTGCTTGTCGTAAAAGGCGACTAACGGGATCGGGTGGTCAGGCTCGCTGACTGGGTTGATGCATGTCATCGATCCCAATTGCGTGGATCGATGCATATGATATTAATCACTGGATTGTCTGGTCCAGACTCGATTACTTACAGACCGCCGTGATATAGCTGGAATATTGCTGAGTGCGGCGTTAAACAACAAACCAACCAACCAACCCCGTTAGAACTGGTCTCCAGCGACCCATGCTTGTCTTAAGAGGCAACTAATGCGATCCGGTGTTCACACTCGCTGACTTGGTTGATGCATGTCATCGTATCTTAATTGCGTAGAAGGATGCCCATGATGCCAATCACTTGATTGTCTGATCTAGACTCGATTATTTACTGACCGCCGTCATATAACTGGTCTATTTTTGACTAGCTCTACAAAGGTTGGTGTCCTGAAAACATTGTGCTGGGAAATTTATATAAATGTTCCACTCCACCTTTTCCCTAGTGAATCAACAAATTTTCCTAAGATTTTTCGGATTTCAACGTGGAAACTACTACCTCTCTACAGATAGCTATTTGGACGTTTTCATACTCGAGTGTGAATAATGTTGATTTTACGAAACTTGAGTCAGAATTTCTGTATTTTAAACAAATAGAGCTAATCTGGACCTACATCTACTCACAGTATTGTAAACTTCCGAAAAACGTAAAATGCCTAAAAACAGGACATGACGTCATCCTGGCATGAAA